AATGGGAAAATAAAATAAGGAAAATGAACTTTACAGAAGAATGTAATTATTCCAGTCGTCCACTAGAGTGCGCTCACAGTCAGTCAAGGATCCACTAGACGTTAATATCACAGCGGTGCCGCATTATGAGTTTTCTATAAACTCCCTCTGATTCCTTTAAATAATATTTAAACTTGATCATTATTAATGAAAGCATTAAAGGCCGATCACACTGAAGTTACCACACAGTATACATGATGCTGCACTTTCTCTGAAGACTAAATGAGGACAATCATTTATTTCAAATGTCAAATAATTAAATGCGTGGTAATTACCGTCCCAATCAACATCTTGACAGGGTTTCAGGATTTTGTTGTGTACTTTGTGTATCAACTGGATTCAGTTGATCTTTTTGATGTTTCATCAACTGCTCGGTGCCAAGAAGAAGAGTTCACCACAGATCCCTCACGGCAAGACGTCTCTTGCCCCACACACATATTCTTCATGGACCGCTGCAGTGTTTTCATCCAGCTACTGACACCGAACACACACCGTCTCTGTGTCTCTGACAGATGCTGATAGCACCAGTATGAATGAATGCTTGGCTGCCAGCTTCTTTGGTAATGTGCCTGCCCATAGGCAAAGCTGCATGAAGTGGCAGAGGCTTGGCTCTGGCTGTCTGCTGACAGGCCCCGTCAGTTTGTGCTGCAGGCGCTGGATCCTCAGTGTTCAGCAGAGTGGTGACAAAGCGAGAAGCTCCTTGTTTTTCCAGTCATGATTTGTCTGAGTGTTGCTCAATGTTACGTCTGAATAACAACCTGATCCTGGTTGTTCTGTTCTTCAGGCCACCTACAGTTGTCTAAACAGTTGAGTGTTTATAAGGAAATAATCTTATTTACTTTCTTGCTGAGCGTTCAACATGAAAGTGAATATCACTCATATCTGTATACAAAATATGAAGCTACAATCAGCAGCTGGTTAGCTTAGCTTAGCATAAAGACTGGAAATGGGGAGACAGCTAGCCCGGCTCTGATCTGTCCTCCAGCACCTGTAAAGCTGGTTATCATGTTCTTTAGATTGTTAACCACTTTGTTCCCTTTGGATGCAGCCAGGCTACATTTCTCCCCATGTTTCCACTCTTTGAGCTACGCTAAGCTAACCAGCTACTGGTGTTGCAAATTATTTAATCTATCAATCATCAGTCATTTGATTTAGCCACAGCTAGCAACCTCTTCATCAGCTAGCTTGGCTCTGTAAGTCCTCCTACTAGCACTTTTAAAGCCTACTAACATGTTTTGTTTTTTTTTTTCATACAAACACGTGTTAAAACAATAATATGTGGTTATGTGCTTTCTGTGCAGCAGGTTACTGTGACCTATGGTCACGTTTTGTTGCTAGGCGACATGTAGTGGTTGAAGTAATGATGCAGGAGCGAAGGGAAAAGTGTCAGTGACGTAGTATAAACGTATAAAGTATAAACGTCAGGACATGGTGGTGGATGGACGGATGGAGAGCGGTGTTCGATTCGCATGTGAAACCAGCTGTTTATATGTTGTTTCTGTCATCAATGACGGTTCGACAAAATTATTGCTGTAACCATGACAACAAAGCTTGTCCAATGTCGAGGAAGTACTTTTTATAACCCAAACAACGACTTTTTCCTAAACCTAACCAAGTCATGACCGTTTATTATTGTAACCATGACTACAAAGGTCCGGCTCTATTGTAACCATGACAACCTGTATGGTTGTTCAGGCTGGAGGTCTGGTTGAACAGCTTGATATTTGGGGAAATTCATATATTTTCTTTCTTGGGGAGTTAGATGAGATGATTGTTACCACCGTCAGCTGTCAGGGAAATATATAAGGCTACAGCTAGCAACCTGTTAGCTCAGTACAGGGGACACACATCCTCCTACCAGCTCCTCTAACAATCAGTAACATGTTGGTTTTATCCACAAAAAACGGACAAGTTGTCAGTTTTACAAGGGGTTACATGTCAGACTGTTTCTTTGCAGGAATCATTGACGTCCTTTCACAATGAGGTTGTGAGGCACCCAGTCCAGACTACGATACAACATGTTGACAAGCATAAGAGGTACTGTAGGTTGATTTTAATACTTTAGTATTCATGCTAAGCTAAGCTAACCAGCTGCTGGCTCTAGCTTCATATTTAATGAACAGTCATGAGATCCATCTTCTCGTCTAACTCTCTGCAAAAAAGTGAATAAGTGTATTTCCCACAACAAACGGAGTCATGCTTCAGTTTTATCCATAACACCTTGTTTATGTTTGTTATTTATTTCATTTGATATTTAAGTTTCTGCGTGTTCACATCTCATGTTGGATTGAAACTTCGCAGTGTTATTTGTAGGTTGCGAGAATAAACCCAAACCAGTGATTGCACTCCACTTGCACAGAACATGTTTTGACATTGGACCCCCTCAGAACTCACGACTAACTTAGTTTTATTGAAACTGGGATCCTCAGATAACCTCTGTCCTGACAACGTGCCATTGGATGACTGTGCTCTTCAGGGTTCCTGTTATTTGATTAAAGTCTATCATTTCCTGTATATTTGTAGCCTGCAGATGTATCCATCCTCACTGGGTTTGACTGGAGTTTATTAATTCCTTCGTACAAAACGTCTCATTTGTAAATGACAGCTTCAGACTGTGTGAGGGTTGCATGAGGTGAGCTGACTTCTTCCTCTCGAGGGAAATGATTTGATATTTTTTTGTCCTACACAGAAATGTATAAAATCAGCTGTGAGAATGAATGTAAAGATGAGCTTGTACATGTAAACAGGTTTTTACAGGTAGACTGTACAGAAAGTGACCTGAGACATGAGAATTAGAACTGTTACGGAACTGTTACAATGAGCTGATATAGTTAATCATACATGCACAATATGTGCAGTTGTTTGTCATTGGAAGTGAAATGGAGCAAATATAATCCTTCTTACAGGATTGAGACCTGCAGCTCTGGAAGCTCAGAAAGCTCCAGATAAACAGGCTTTATTTATTTGCTTGTCATGCGAACACACACACACACACACACACACACACACACACACACACACACACACACACACACACACACACACAAACACACACACTCACTCAAAAATCACTATGTCTGCATCAAGAACAAACAATCTACCGCACAAACAGTCTGACACAGCGTGAGTCCGCTGTTATTGCAGGGAAGGCGGTCTAACAGCTCCTCTGTCCTCAGCTGAACTGTGGAGGAAAGTAGTTTACACAGAGGAGAAATGAGTGGTGCAAATTATAATAACACCTTCATTCATTAAATCCTCTGCCAACACACACACACACACACACACACACACACACACACACCGACTGTGGAGCCCATCACCTGAGCTTCAAAGTGTTTTTTTTAGGTTGTATTGTCCTCATCTCACCTCTGCTGGCCCAGAGTGGTGTTTGCTATTTTAAGTCGTAGATTTGGAGCCAACTCTTACTCAGACCTGAGTGTTGACTGATAACCTGCTATGATGTTGCAATTAAAGTTTTCTCCTCAGTATAATGTCCTACTGTTTATATCTGTGAGTCTGTAAGTTTCCATAAATTCACAGAAAACACTTGGACTGATGAAACTAATCCTGTGTACAAAAACAGGCTCTGTGGACGGTGAAGGTTAAGTCCATGGCTGAATGCTGAGCAGCAGCAGACACACATCACTGGTCACATGTCACAGGAAAAACTCTTAATCACCACAACATTCACTGAACATGCCAAGTGTGAAACCATTATCAACATATCTCTGAATGTGCTTTATTTATTTATTTTACAAATAAATCATGAGGCTTTTTACAGGAGAAACAATTATCTTCAGTGTTTGTTCTGTAAAAATCATCTGCACTCAGATTTAATATGATTTTATTTATTGAAATGTTTCATCCTTTTTTATTTGAACAGTTTATAAATCAGGTGAAACCTGAAATAAATTTACTCTGTATTTATTATTGTTGGACACAAATAAAAACCACTTCATTTCTTTAGGACTAATACATTAGATTTTTCATAAATTGGTTTTATGAATGTAAGAAGGTTTAACTAAACATTATTATAATATTCAGGAAAAAAATCTAAAAAAAATCTACTGTGTAATATTAAGAGATAATAATGATTATCTGAACCCAGCATCGTATATTTCCTGTGGGATCAATCACACATCGATCAGAAAATATTAGTCTGTTCTGTGTAAGGAAACAGGTTGAATTAGATCTGAATGTCTGAGGTCAAAGCACCTGGACTCTCCAACCTGAACATCCCAGAACCTGAGTCTGTGATTGTGACCCGACGTTCTAGAACTTTAACTGCTACAGTTTCTAGTTCCAGAACGTCACAGTTCAAACGGTCCAAGTGATTTTGTTGCAGCAAAAATAAATGTGTTGAAATTATAGCAAATTAAAAAAAATTAAACCCATTCAGCAAATGTTTTTTCTTACTTTATGAATATGAATCTTTCATGAATAAAACAATAAATACTGAAGTTTTTTATTAAGTTTCTATTACATGTAATTAAACTATATTAACTTACATATATAACACGGGTGAGTTCTGAACGTTAAACTGAACACGTGGTTTGAATTCGTGTGATCGTTAATAACATGAAAGTGTCTCAGCGCTGAGATCACTCAGCTCACAAAGGGTTAACGGGGTAACAGAAATGCCTCTAACAGACAGATGCCCCGCCAGCTGCAGCTCCAGCTCCAGCTCCAGCCCAGACCTCTGACTTTTAAAAGCTTCTTCAGCATCTCAGGAGAAACTCTCTGTCATGCTGTGAGGGACTTGGCGGGTCACGGTAACGGCTGCAGACCGGTGATACACAGCATCACCACCGCGGAACCAGGACGACAACCCGGACTCACACACTCAGACTCACACGTGCGATGCGCGTTTGATTGTTTCTGTAGTTTCACTTCTTTTTATGTCCAGAGAGGAAGAAGTCTTTTCGTCTTCTCCACGTGCTGAGTCCAGCTCCGCTCTGGAGATGTGGTGGATGCTGTTTCCACGGTGGATCTGGTTCCTGGTCTGTGTGTCAGTGTGGATGGAGGTCCAGGTCGGAGTTCGGCCCCAAATCACCTACTCACACGCGGGAATCTGCCCGAATGACATGAACCCCAACCTGTGGGTGGACGCCATGAGCACCTGCACGCGAGAGTGCGACACCGACCAGGTAAAGTCACCTTTAGGATCAAGGCTCATCCTCCGCACAGTTTGTAAATGTGAAGCTGTTTCACAGGCAGGTTCTGGATTATGGAAATGAAATGTGATCACGTAGGATCTTTGAAATGAAATGTGTGTTTTTATTCATATGCATCATATTTCCTGAGCTCTCTGGGTTTTTACTCCATCATTGTCGACAGTGTCAAACCCTGCAACGTCTCTCCTCTTGTCTTCAGGAGTGCGAGTCCTTCGAGAAGTGTTGCCAGAATGTGTGTGGTAATCACAGCTGTGTGGCGGCTCGTTACGTGGACGGGCAGAAAGGCCCCATGGGAATGCCGAAGGAAGCCACCTGCGCCAGCTTCATGTGCACCCAGCAGGGGTCCGAGTGCGACATCTGGGACGGGCAGCCGGTGTGTAAATGCCGCGACCGCTGTGAGAGGGAGCCGCACTTCACCTGCGCCTCCGACGGCATGACCTACTACAACAAGTGCTACATGGACGCGGAGGCGTGCTCCAAAGGCATCACCCTGTCTGTAGTCACCTGCCGCTTCCACCTCACCTGGCCCAACACCAGCCCCTCGTTGCCCCAGGCGACCACCCTCCGCCCCACCACCGCTCCCCTTCAGGCGACTGTCCCCCCCCCCCAGCCACCAATCGAGGTCAGCAGCCCCGTGCACCAGACGGTGAGCGTGGGCGACACGGCCAGCTTCCTGTGTGACGTGACGGGTCGCCCCAGGCCCGAGATCACCTGGGAGAAGCAGCTGCCTGAGGGGGCGGAGAAGGTGGTCATGAGGCCCAATCACGTGCGAGGAAACATGGTGGTCACCAACATCGGTCAGCTGGTCATCTACAACGCTCAGCCGCATGACTCAGGCGTCTACACCTGTACGGCCCAGAACCCGTCCGGCTCGGTGCGGGCCAACCACCCGCTCACGGTGCTGCCCACAGAGCCGCCCAAAACCCCCGAGCCCAAGAACGTGAGCCGCTGCCTGCCTGAGGAGTGTCTGAAGCCCCCCGATAACCCAGAGGATTGTGGGAGTGAGCTGGAGAGAGTCAGCTGGTACTACGAGCCCAAGGCCAACAACTGCTTCTCCTTCACCCACTGTCACAGCGACCACAGCCAGCAGCCGGCGAAGGCCTTCGACACGTATGAGAAGTGCGTACAGTGCTGCGGCCCCGAGCTCACGGGCCCCTGCGGCCTCCCCAGCCTGCAGGGCCCCTGTAAAGCCTACGAGCCGCGCTGGGCCTACAGCAGCGTGCTGCGTCAGTGTCAGTCCTTCATCTACGGAGGATGTGACGGCAACGACAACAACTTTGAATCTAAGGAAGCCTGCGAGGAAATGTGCCCCTTCCCCAAAAACCACCACTGCAAGTCCTGCAAGCCCCGAGGCAAGATCGTGACGAGCTTCTGCCGCAGCGACTTCGTCGTCCTGGGTCGCATGACGGAGCTCACAGAGGAGAAGGACTCGGGCCACGCCCTCGTGACGGTGGAGGAGATCCTGAAGGACGAGAAGATGGGGCTCCGCTTCTTTGGCAAGGAGCCGCTGCAGGTCACCTTCCTCAACATGGACTGGAACTGCCCCTGCCCCAACATCACGGGCGCCGCCGCCGAGGGTCAGGTCATCATCATGGGCAACGTCAACGACGGCATGGCGGTCCTTCAGCCGGAGAGCTACGTGGGAGCTTCCAGCCCTCGCCGCGTACGGAAGCTGAGAGAGGTCATCTCTAAGAACACGTGTGACATTCTGAAAGCGATCACCAACAGCCCTCAGTAGGGGCGGAGTCTGCAGCAGCTGTTTCCTCTGGACTGTCACTGTACTAATGTTCCCCCACAGTTACAGGACTTCTCTGCGGTTCTGAAGGAACCGGCTCGTTCCACTTCTCCAACGTACAGAAGCGTCTTCATCCTGTTACGCTGCGGTCGCTGCTGCCGGTGATTGAAATACCATGTCTGTGAACACAGGAGACATCCATCACGATCCTCTCGTTACCTTAAAGCCCCAGACCCCGTCGCCCCGCGTGCCCTCTCCCGCCCCGGCAGAGATGGAGGTTGCAGACGTTCAGTGAAGCAGAAAACAGACACGTTTGATTCTCATGTACAGGATTTAACTGTCACTCTTCTTCTGCTTCTTTATTCTCCAGCTCTGATCTTTCTTTACCTTCAAACATTTACTCTGTTTCTCAGCAGCACCTGTGCACACAAGACTTCATCCAGATAACTGAGTTGTAATATATTTTATTAACCAGCACTTTTTCTCACAACCTGTCATTTATGTTTTTATCACTTTTTATCTATTTATTATCATGTAGGCTTTTCTTTTGTCTTGTTTCATACTTCACCTCCCTCTGAAGTGAAATGGCGTTTTGTCATTTTGTGTTAAAGAAAATAAAGATTTGTGATTTTTCATCCGTCTCCGTCTTTAATCTTTGTTTACATCAGTTCTATCAGAATGACAGACGCAGGGCTGATGAAAGGGTTTTGTCTCTTCAAGCTGAGGTACACAATGACTTGTACAGATTCGTGTTCAGCTGTCTGTACCTGCCGCTCCATGTACCTGTGTGGCTCCTCTGACAGCCTGTGATAAAAGAGACGTGGGAATAGCGTGTCCCCAGCCCACCCTGCCCCCACCCTGCCCCCAAAAAATAAAAAACCCCCAAACAGAGCCCATCCATTCTAAAGACCCCTGTGGCATTGTAAAAACTTCACCCTATTTTGCTTTGCCTCCATCATCCAGTCTAATTGGGTAAAGAGCCCAAGCTGTAAACCTCAGATCCACTCCCTTACAAGAGTTATGTGTTTGATGGCGTGCCAGCAGGCATCTCTGGGTTACTGGGAACAGGCCTTGGTGGGCTTCGACGAGGGTGTTCTCCTTCCCAGATGAGATTCTGTTTCTCCCATCCAGAGCGGCGAGGGAGGGTGGGAGACCGGCCCATGTACGGCGTTCCTTTACTGGCAAAACCACCAGGGAGCTCAGACCTGCACTTCAGCAGCTGTTGGGGCTCTGGAGCAGAGAGGGATTAGATCTGCAGCACCTTGGACCAGATCGGTTCACGTCAACAACACAAACACAACAACAGCTCCTCACACGTTTTATCACTTTCTGATTCACGGTGAACACGTTTATCCACTGGTTTGACTGGTGCATTCACACTGGTCACATGATGTTTATCTGTGATCACTTCAGTCCAAACACAACCATCATACATCAACGTGATTAAATCAAATATTCATTCATTCTTTATGTGAAACAGCTGGAAGGAAAAATATGATTTAATATTAATGATATAATAAACTTTTTCATAAAAGACTCGTAGCTGAAAGCGCTTCACAATAAAGAAATCAAATAGAATCAGAAAAGGGCAAAAGACGGAGAATGAAAATAGAAATCAAACAGAAACCAATGAGAGAATTAATTAAAAGCCAAGTTTAAAAATGTTCACTGAGCATCTCTTACAGCTCTTGGCAGGGTTTTCTGTAGTTTAAATAAAAATCTGCACTGCCTGTTTTCTTGTGTGTAAAACTGTGTGTATTTAAAAGTGTGACAGTAGAAGATCTGAGAGAGAGTGTTGGCCCCAAACCACCAAGAAATCTCTTCTAAAAGATCCTGGGAGCCAGTGAGGTTGTTGTTAAGGTCGTTCAAAGACTGACGCAGTGGGACAGTGGGACAGTGGTGCAGTGGGACACAACGTTAGGGTTGGGACACAATCACCAAGTGATTACTCACTTACTCTGAGGCGTCCTGCTGCACATACACACATGCAAACACTTAGACCGAGCTCAGAGAATAACATACTGTACTGTTATATATGTTTAGATTACCAGAGTAAACTCTGTGTGTGTGTGTGTGTGTGTGTGTGTGTGTGTGTGTGTGTGTGTGTGGATGAAGCTCAGTCAGAGTTAGCTCAGTGACTCTAAATGTTTGACTTCCTAATTCAACAACAACAAACCTTTATGACAGTGTGATGTAACTGATGTAACGGTGATGTAACAGTTTCTCTGCTGCTGTGTTCAGGTCAGCTGTTGTAACGTGTGTAGTGACGGAAACAAAGAGGAAGGAAAACAGTTGTGGGACAGGTTCGCTCAGTGTTCCCAGAATCAGAACCAGGTGAAGCAGCTCTGAGTTCCTCACCTGTGGCACGAGCTTCCTGAACACCTGAGCTGAGACTGTCAGCTGATCTCAGGCCTGAAAACGTCCCAGTTTACTGCAGAGGTCCATGTGCATCACTGCAGCACTTCTTTTAAAAAGGTGTCCTACGTGATTTTATGAAATCTTCATATAACTGATTTTTATTTATTCAAATGAGTTTTTCATGTTTTAATGTATTTCCACGCCTCTGTAAAGCTCTTTGAATTGCCTTGTGTTTGAATGATGCTCTATAAATAAACTTGCCTTGACTATCTACATAAAAAACTCTTTTTTGTAAAGTGCTGGACACTTTCACCTCTTCAGGCCTCTTGGTGTCTGAACTCAGACGTCACAACATTTTTGGGGATTTTACGTGTCTGTTAAATAGCGACAGCAGAGACGAGTCACAGGGTTCATGGTCAGTGTGAAAGGTCGGGGGCCACTGGACCGGAGCCTCTTCATTTACAGAGAAGCCTTTGGGTTTCTGATAATCTGGTTATCACTGATACACATGTTCACATTATTATTCCTCTAATGCAGCAACAATTGAGTCTGACTGAAGTTAATATCATTCGCAGGTGCAGCATCAGGTCAGCTGAGGGAACTGGTTCAACTATCAAAACAACCATCAATTATTTTTCTCCTCTGCTGATTTTCCATTAAAAAAAACCTCCTTTTACCACCTCAGCACTTCAGTCCACAAAAACACTATTTATTATCAATTAAAACGCCGCATATTCGAAACATGTGTGATGCTTATTTTTCTCGCACTTTTATGCTTTTCTAATTTGAAGCGAGGGGTACAGGAGTTCTGCTTTGATATGCTGCGCAGAATGTTTTTTTTTTCCTCTCCTTCCTCTCGGGGGCTGTTGATTGGACGGGGTCATTGCGTTCACAGGCTCGGTTCACTCGAGGCAGGAGCAGTCAGAGAGGTCCATGTGAGGCTCAGACGTAGACCTGCATCAGGTAGAAGGGACAGGGCTGACAGCTGAGCGGGGAGCGTCGGGGCCGGTTCCTCTCCGAGTGTATTTCTGTGCGGTGCCTCCATGCTGTGTATCCTGAGGAGAAGGGACTGAAGCACCTGTGGAACAGATCAGCCAGCCGGGTGGTTTAAGACCTTTGATTCATGATGTGCATCTGTTATGGTCATATCATTTGGAACGTCTATTGAAAAGATACAGTAGCCACTCACACGCAGTGACTGGAGATGAGCAGGACCCGGGGCAGTATATCATCCTGGGGCAGCAGCAGCTCAAAGCCTTTAAGCTGGTAGGTGGGGGGGGGGCTTCTGCTCTGGAGGGAGACATGATGGAGAAATGCTGTCACTCCTGTGGCCTTGAGAAAGTCACTTCACCCACAAACCCTCCTTTGTCAACAGTGACAGATGCTGTTTCTCTGAAAAGACCATCAGTGAGCGATCGACTGAAGCCAGGAAAAAAAACATTCATCAACTCATTATTCTAGTTCTGAGTCTAATGATCTTATTTTTCTTTAAACAAGTGAAATCCATCTCTGATATCCTGAAACACTGTCACTGATACTTTACATTTGTGTCACTCACTGTCACTGATTCTGGCTCCTCTGCTGGATTTCTCTAAGATTTAATACTAAACTACATTTCTTGGCCTGTGCGCAGGAGTCCAGGGTCTGTGAGTTTTTTGACTTGATACCTTTTACACCCCTTCACCCTTCATCTTTAGTTTGGTTTTCACAACTGTGGCAAAATGAAGAGATATTAATTAGGTCATATTTGTTGCCTAGTTAAAAACATATAAAGCTGGTGTTTACCACAGTGAAGCCGATCTCATTAGTGCAGAGGAGTGTGTTTGCCTCTTTTCCTGCAGTGCAGTGCAGGTTGTGAACCACAGCATCCTCTGGTGTTGACTGGGGTGGGTCTACAGTTTGGTCTGCTGTGAGTATTTAGCACAACCTATACTGTATAGATTTACTGACAGGAAGCCGTGGGGCTGGAGATATACAGTTAGCTACAGCAGGAGCTGAAGTGTCTGTAGGTAACAGTAAAGGTTTCCTTAGTTAAGGAAACGATGTAGAATAGGTGCGTCTCCTGGTCCAGAACTCTTCTTGGGTTACATTCATTTTCTTCATTCATCACATTAAACTCAGAGGTACCTTTAGTTTTTTTATTTTTACTTACTTTGGTGACTAAGGTCGATTTCATCAACTTTAAATGATTCCTTATAGTATAAGTATAAGGAGAAAACTTCAGTGAACGTTTTAAGGAAACCTTAAGGAGAAGACTATAGAACGTGGGAGAAAGCAGGAGTACACAGAGAGAACCCATGAAGGCCCACGATCCAAACCCAGAACCTTCTCATTGGAAGGCAGCTACTCTGACCGCTGCACCACCATGGAAACCCATACTAAAACATTAGTGTAGTAGGTTATAAAAACATCAAAGTACAGTAAAGCATTACACTGTCACAAAACACCACTGAGCCCAGGATTTCAACCCAGAACCTTCTCATTGTACGGCGGTTATTCTAACCACTGTACTACAACAGAACATGAGAATAAACACTTTGTTTAGTGAGCAATAAAAACGCCAAAAAAAGTCATAGAATATTAAGGCATGAAAATAAAAAAAAGTCATAGTATAGTATGTCATAAAATTAAAAAAGAAAAGTATT